CTTATTTTTGGAGCTAAATATTTAGGAGATGGAATTTTAATATCAAGAATGGACATGAAGTTATGCATTGTAACTAGAGATATGTCACAAAACCAGACACAGTTTACCTTCCTAAGTTTACATGGAGCAGCATTCTTAAGGTGACAACTACAGGAGCTAAGCATGATTATTTGTTCCTTGTAAGAGAGCCAGAAAGCTGTCAGTCACAATACACCTCTAGTTTCTGAAGAGTTAAGATTCCTCCTGTTGAAGGAGCCCCTCCCAGTGGCTCCAGCCCAGTTGAAACCTGAAAGCAAAGAGGAATTTGTTTTACTGTGGTTGCAAATGGTTCTACTGGGTGCAGTTAATCTTGGAAAGTAATTTTAAATTAGTGACAATTTCCCAATAAGTGTTGGGCCTCCCACTCTTTTCTAACCAAAGTATTTATGAAAGTTCCCCCCCCCCCCACCCAGGTCATGTGTTTCTGCAAAGGAAGTTCAAGGGCTGGAACTTCCATATCTCCCTCTCCTTGCTCTTTGGCCCCTTCCTCAGTCTGTTCCCACACTGGCCAAGGTGTCTTTCCCCATGACAGGAAGGAGAGAACAGGCAAGTGGAACCCATATCCTCTCTAACCTGGCTGAATCTTCAGCTGTCTGTCACCTCTGTCCTCACACAGCTCTTTTGGTGGGGAAGAGTCTCCTGGAGGGCAGCCAGGCCCTTCCAGTGACTGCAGTCATGTGGCCAGAAGTTTAGGGCTCAGTAAGTCCAAAAAGAGGCCCACCACCCAGGCCTGTCTCTTACTACTGTGAGGCCACCCCTTCTTCCTGGCTTCTGGCCTGCAGAGAATGCTATGCAGGGCAGATTCGCAGACTTGGTTGGTAAGACCTCAGGAACGATATGGTCCAGACGAGAGAATTGCAGGCAAGTTTCACTGTTAGGCAACATTGGTTCAGGCTCCCTGAAGCCCTGGGTATCCCATAGGGCCAAGGGGAGCATGGAGGGAAGAAAACGGTTATCTTTTCAGATCATTTCTTCTGACGCAAGTAACAGGGCCTTTGTTACTCTTGAGGGAAGATCCTTTGAATCAGGTGACTTGCTTTTTTCCTGGCTAATTGTCTTGAGTGACCAGTAGGCTAAACACACCTATATTTGGGCTTGACCTCATTTTGTGACCTGGGTATCTTGTTTATTTTTTTCTTCCTTTAAAGGTATAGGCAGACTCTTTAATTTTTAATATTAAAGTTGTAAGCATGGTTGAAACAGATTGTTTTTCTCTGCAGTTTTGCTACTTGGGTAGAAAGGACAGGCTTCAGAGTGTGTCATTTGGAGACCTAGAAAAATCAAAAGAAATAAAACAAGCTGCTGTTGTCATAATCATTTTTAAAGGGCAGAAGCTCAGCATTGTAGAGGTCAAGGCTTCTTCCTCTATTTAGGAAGCTAGAACCAACATTCCTGGGGGCAAATTCTAGAGCCTCATCTGTGACTTCAGCCCTCAGAATTCTTCAGGTCCTCCAGTCCTTCTTTTGGCAACTTGACCCATTGGCTTCTGAGAAGGGCAGATGGCAGGTGACCACAGATGTGCATTGTCCAGGCAGGTGATGGGTCAGGAACTTGGAGAGGAAACAGTCTTCTTACCTGCAGGGGCTTTAAATTCTGTGGACCTCAAAGCATGGGGAAAATGTGACCGGACACATTATTGAGCAATGAGAAGACCCTGTATTATAAACGAACAGGTCTGGCTCTGTAGGGGCTGGCTGCTGTAAAATGTGTTTAAACCTCAAGGTGTATGAATTTCTGCCTCCTCACTGCTCACATCCTGAAATGACTCCAGGACAGAATGGCAATAATTAGGAAAATGTATTGTACTGCCTTTCGTCAGGGACTAAAACTTATTTTTATAACTCATTTTTAAGATGAGTTTATCAAAGGGACTTTTTCTGTGGACGCTGAAAGTCTCTTTGGGCTATAGAATAAGACGCATATGAAAGGGAATATTTAATAAGTACTCTTTAATTATGGAGTCTGGGGACCCCTGCTGTCCAGTGGGCCCCTGTCTCAGCCATGGCTGGGCTCCCCCAGTCTCTGGCTCAGTACTTTGAGATGAGAACCGTAGTTTTAGAGAGCCTATTTCAGTCAGGCATAGTGGCTCACCCCTATTATTCCAGCACTCAGGAGGTAGAAACAGGAGGATCGCAAGTTTGAGGCCAGCCCAGGAAAAGGTAGGGAGACACTGTTTCAAAAACAAAATTAAAAGGAGGGGAGGGCTGGCAGCGAAGCTCAAGTTGCCTAGCATTTGTCAGGCCCTAGGTCCAATTCCCAATGCCACAAAACAGGGAGCTATCTTCAATTTTCTCAGCTTTTTTGTTTGTTTTTAAGCACACCCCTGCTTTTCCACTAATGCTAAGCACTGGATCCATTTCTCAGTTCTAGATCAGTACAAGGTTTGAACCCTTCTGCTACAAATACTGAGATTGGTGCAATCACGTGTGGCACCGATGCCCTGCTAATGAGGAACCACTGATGTTAAGTTCCATGTGAGGATGGAGTTATTAAGCAACCATGACAACACAGTCAGCTTCCTGATGGTATAGGAGATATCTACAGATGCTATTCAGACCTGAGGCACCTGTCCCTGCCATTGTCATGGCTGCTACTACCAGTCTCTTACAAGGAAGTTTAATGATGCTGTTTAAGAACTTTGCTGGACGTTAACTAGAAGGCTTCCCAGATTGTGTATACACATATACAATAGCCAAAAGGTGGGCTGGATAAGCAAATGTGGTATATCCATATGATGAAATATTAGTCAATATTAGTGAAAAAGGAAGGAGGTCTTATCACACGCTACCACGTGGATGAACCAGTGACACAAACCAGTCACAAAAAGACAAATACTGTATGACATCCCTGGTATGATGTCCCTAGAGTAGTCAAAATCATAGACACAGAAACTAGGGGATGATGGTTGAGGGCTGGTGGGAAGAGGAAACAGGGAGTTATTGTTCAAGGGGTACAGAGTTCGTTTGAGAATATGAAAAGGCTTAAGAGTCTATTTCCTGGTGTGGATATATACAACATGACTGAACTGTGCTCTTAAAATAGTTAAGATGGTAAATTATACATTATATATGTTTTACCCACAATTAAAAGTTCTTAAACACTCTTAACAACGAAAAAGGCAATGAAGCTTCTAGAACGTGGAAAAATTCTGATACAATCTGCAAATTTTTCAGCACTCTGATTTAGTTCTGAGAATGGAGACTAGAGTTCCCCTCAGAAGGTAGGTTCTAGCTCAATACCCATCTCATGTTTTTTAGAAATAATTTTTAGAATAATATGCTTGTTAGGGCAGCAGTAAAATAAGAATTTCTGGACTGGGGGTGCAGGTTAGTGATAGAGCACTTGTCTAGCATTTGTGAGGCCCTGGGTTCCATCCTCAACACCACACGAATTAAAATTAAATTAAATTGCAAAATTCTACCTTTTATTGGTTGTCACTTAGAATTATACCATCTGATCTAATGATTATGCCTGCTGCTTTTTTGTACTTTGGGCTCAGGTGTCATATTTTTCTTTCTTTTTCATATCCCAACTTTTTTACATTTTTGTGTTCTGTTTGTGTTTTTGTAAGGTACACCCAGTATAGTGTTTTAACTTCCTAACGTTGTTACAGGTTTGGCCCTCCACTTTCGTGTGGGGATCAGAGTCACTGCCTGTCTTGCTATAATTTTAAACACCATTTCTCAGACTCCCAGAAGTCCCTTCCCTCCCTTCCCTGACCTTCAGAACTCTGGACACATTCTTTAAGAAGCCTCCTTCCCTGGCCTTTGCAAAGCTGTAGTTATGGATTCAATTCTTCTTTTCTTTTTAATTTAAAAAATTAATATGCTTCTCTAAAGGATAGGCTAAGTTAAAGCCATCATGTGAGTTGCCCACGACATGTTTCAGTTTTGATTTAAGAATCTCAAAAGCTTCTCATGGCACTCCATTTTCATAATCTGTGCCCAATAGCATTTGGCCAACTTTTGGATCTATAAACATTTTGATGCTCTGGCTGAGACGGGGGAAGAAACGCTTTGAACCAAAATATAGAAATTTCTAGCTATGTCCTGGTTGCAGTCCCCTCTTCTCCCCGCTTGGCATGTGCCTGGCCCAGCAGACAAGAATGTGCCCACAGGTGTCGGGGCAATGGTGACAGCTGCTTCCTTAGACCTGAACCGAGGGTCTTTCTGAGAAGTGTGGTACCTAACAGCCAACCCAAGAGCAAAATCAGTTTGCATTACAGCAGAAGTTTCCGTAGATGTACAGAAGCCCTTTTCTCTTTGGAGAAGATGGTCAGTCTTCAGCAGAGTCAGAGGCCCTGGGTGGTGGTGATAGCTGGTCCCTTTCATCATGTCCCCTGCTGTGAATGGGACCCATATTTTGAGGGAGAGCCAACACCAGGCCCGGTTACATGGAGAACAAGGACAGATTTGTATATAACCTTGTGATTCTCTTTTGGAAGAGGGTGGTTGATAATATGAGCTTTCCTAAGAACACATGATTACAGCAGATGGTGTAATCCAAGCTTGAATACATTGTTACAGGAGACTAATAAATATTTGGTTTCTTTTTTCCCATCTTAGTCTGCACAATAAACCAGATTATACCATTCTAATGAATGATTTTTTTTTTTTGGCTTGCGTGAGCTATTTAATGAGGGAAATCTGCAGGAGTTCTGTGAGTCCTTGGTTTACATAAAACCACACTGATGTCACGTATATCTACACAGTGATGGAAGGGAACTTGGATGTGAATTCGTTTACCTGTGTTCCTAGGTTAATGGTCAACAGCCACCTAGAGTGTAATCTGAATGCAGCTGAATCAAGATGCTTTTAAACCTCTCCCCAAAACAACACAAAGTGCTTAGAATGGGCCTTCCTTCCTTATGAGAAAAACTCCTACTAGCCGACTAGGAGGCTGAGGTTGTAAGTGTCACAGCCTACTTTAAGCGACATTGTTTGCTCCTTGTTTAGGAATAAGCTGGCACGATGGACTGGAGCTCCCTGTACACTTTCATCGGGGGTGTCAACAAGCACTCCACCAGCATCGGGAAGGTGTGGATCACGGTCATCTTCATCTTCCGCGTCATGATCCTCGTGGTGGCCGCTCAGGAAGTGTGGGGTGATGAACAGGAGGACTTTGTCTGCAACACCCTGCAGCCTGGCTGCAAGAACGTGTGCTACGACCACTACTTCCCTGTGTCCCACATCCGCCTCTGGGCCCTGCAGCTGATCTTCGTGTCCACCCCGGCGCTGCTGGTGGCCATGCATGTGGCCTACCACAGACACGAGACCGCCCGCAAGTTCAGGCGTGGGGAGAAGAGGAACGAATTCAAAGACCTGGAGGACATTAAGAAGCAGAAGGTGCGGATCGAGGGCTCGCTGTGGTGGACGTACACCGGCAGCATCTTCTTCCGCGTCATCTTCGAGGCCGCCTTCATGTATGTCTTTTATTTCCTCTACAACGGGTACCACCTGCCCTGGGTGCTCAAGTGTGGGATCGAGCCCTGCCCCAACCTTGTCGACTGCTTTATTTCCCGGCCGACAGAGAAAACGGTGTTTACCATTTTTATGATTTCTGCATCTGTGATTTGCATGCTACTGAATGTGGCCGAGCTGTGTTACCTACTGCTCAAAGTCTGTTTGAGGAGATCCAAAAGAGCCCAGACGCAGAACAGTCTCCCCAACCACACCGTAAAGGAGAGCAAGCAGAACGAGGTGAATGAGCTGATTTCAGAGGGTGGCCAAAATGCAATCACTAGTTTCCCAAGTTAAGCATTTCAAGGTCAAATGTAGCTGAACCCAAACAATACATTCGGCTTCTCTGGGAGGCAAAATCAACCTGAAAATTCCCTCTCTAAGCTGAAGAGTTTGTCTTTATAAACGACTGTCATCCCAAATAGATACTTGAGGTCACTTTCCGCAGAATACTTGCACCGTTCCCATGCAGCATAGTCACGTAAGCGTCCTTCTCTGAAAGCAAACACTGGTGACGGCGTGGATGTCACTTTAACAAGTCCATTGTATGTGGGTGTTTCCTGAAAATTGATGTAACTGTTGCTGATAAGGAGTGATTTATCTAGAATTTGATACTTTTATTAGTAAAGGATATTTTTATAGGATTGAATGTTTTAGTTTTGACTTTGAATTTATATAAAGTATTTTTATAATGACTGAAAAAAAATCCATAAATGTTAGTTTTACCTATATACACCAAGTATCTAAATTTTGAACTTACAAAGGGTCTAGCTTATTGTGAATACTGTTTTGCATTGTCTAGTGACAACTTTATGAGGTGTCGTACTCTTAAGGATGAAAGTGTTGGCTCTACAATGTGTTTTTATTGCTTTCTGAATAGATGGGGCTATAGGGAAGTAAGACACTAACTTTGCCTGTTTGCCACTTACTGTCAACATTGGAAACAAGAATGTGACAACCTCAATAAAGCTCGTCCCCACTGTTCATGCTTTCATGTGAACTATGAGTCTCTGCTCCTTCTGGGCCCCGCCCCCATTTCTAGGGGAGTGACAGGTTGGTGACTTGCTGGGGAGGCAGCCAATGTAGGTGGAGGTGCCTGCACTTCAACAAGAATTCTTGCATCAAATGAGCAGAGCCTCCTAAGGCCTCAGCTTGGAGAAGGGTGGGATATTTGTAAGACTCTAGGAAGATATCCTCTGATCATTTCAGCCTTAATAAAGAGCCAGTCACAGTGGCACATCCCCATAATCCCAGCATTCTGGAGGCTGAAGCAGGAGGATTACAAGTTGGAGGCCAGCCTGAGCTACACAATAAAACCCCATCTCAAACGCAGAGTTTTTTTTTTAAAAAAAATGCTTAGGTTGGTCTTAAGCAGCTAGCTGTCTTAATCACTTTTATGTTTCTGGAACAAAAGACCTGAGACTGAGTGACAGTTGTAGAGCTCACAGCTTGGTGCTGGCTCTGATGAGGACTTCTAGATCATCACAGCATGGTGGGTGGCTTCATGGTGGGATCATAAGAGAGAGGGGGAGATCACGTGGCAGGGCAGGAAGTAAGCAAGTGATTACGAGGAAGTGACAGGCCTGCCTTCAACAACCCACTCTAGGAACTTCCTGAAAGCCATCATTAATCCCTTCTGAGGGCATGTCCTTGTGACCTAATTTCCTTTCACTAGGTTCCTCCTCTCAAAGTTCCACCACCCGAACCTCATCACACTGAGCACCAGGCTTCCAGCACATAAACCTTTGAGCAACACCCTCACACCATCCCCAGAGCATAGCAGCAGCCTCGGTAAAACTCATCTCAACAGACTTACCACCTGATCCCGTCAGTCCACGGTGACGGACAAGAGCACCATACCTCGCACCCAGAGGTGGGGAGACCGCTTTCTCCCCAGGGTGTGGGTGAGTCAGTGCAGAGTGGTCACTCCTGGGAGTAATGACACACATGAACACAGCCTCTGTGGTGAGGGGTGGATAGCGTGGTGGGCAATGCATTAGGACATCTGATGAACAGTGAACACATGGACGGCTCCACAGGGCACGTCCATCCCCAAAGGACTTGTTTCAGAACCTCCCTCTAGAAAAACAAAAAGTAATTCTTCTTTGTTCATAGCATAAAGCAAACCCCAGACATTTCACTTCATTTACAAACATTTTAGTGCTAATCTATAAAAACCAAAACTGAACTTTTCAAAATAAAATCACAATTCCATCTTCACATGAAAAAATCTGAGTCAGCATTCATAATTCCTGATTCTCCTCTGATGGTCATTTCTTTTGAGACAACAGTTTGAGTGATTATTGAATGAAGCCCATAGCATAAAGGGGTGGGGGTGAAGTGTCAGGGACAGATAGTGCCACCACGGTCGGGTCCAGTCTGGATGGAAGAATTACTTCCCACCCGACTCTTGGACCACCCTTCTCCCTCAGGACTGCAATGCGTGGTGGGTCTCTCTTTCTCTCTCTCTCTCTGTTGAGTTGTGATCTATGGTATTCCAAATACCTGAAACTCACCACCAATTCAAAGTAATAAACACGTGTCATTTCCAAGAGTTTCCTTGCTTTTTGATGTGGTATGTAACGACAAGTGACATGAGGGCCACCCTCTTGACACACTTCAAAGTGCAGCATACTACATGGTTAGCTACAGGCCTGACGTCTCACAGCAAGTAGCTAGAACTTCCTCATCTAGGTTGGCTGACACTTCATACTTCCTGGACAATGAGCCCCCCCACAGCCCGGGACACCCCTGTTGTATTCTTTGCTCCTTTTTGGCTATTTTTGATACCTCATAAAAATGGGATCATGCATTATTTGTACTGTTTCACTGAGCATAGTGTCCTATAGGTTGTAACATTAGGCAGGACTTCTTCCTTTTTAAGGCTGAATAATATTCCATTATGTATACACACCACATTTTCTTTATTCAGAACTACATGACATCTGTCAGGATGGCTGTTATCAACAAAACAAATCAAAAAATAGCTAGTGCTGGTAAGGAGGTGCAGAAATTGGAAAGCTCCTGTGGAAAACGGGTCAGATCTTCCTCGAAGTCATCTGCCGCGTGACCCAGCAGTCATTCTCCTGGGTGTATACCCACAGCAGCATTGATCACAATAGCTTAGAGGTGGAAACCACCCTCTCTGCTCTCCTCTCATCACCCCTTCCTCTTTCACTTTTTTCTTTTTTGCAGTACTGGGGTTTGAACTCAGGGCTTCACACTTGCTAGGTAGGCACTCTACCACTTGAGCCATGCCCCCAGTCCTGTTTTTGTGTTAGTTATTTTTGAGATAGGGTCTCCTGAACTTTTTGCCCAGGCTGGCTTCGAACCTCCATCCTCCTGATCTCTGCCTCCTGAGCAGCTAGGATTACAAGCCTGAGCCACCAGCACCGAGCTTCTATACCTCACTGGATGTTCTCCCTCGTGCTATGGCCCCACCTCTCCTCCACCTCTCATCAACATTCTGAGAGTGGTAGGCATCCATTTCTCTCTCCCCACCTATTTCTCAGCACTAAATCTCAGCTTGCCCACTATTATCCGCATCAATGACTTCAGGAACACAAAATCTAATGGCATCGTCTTAATTTTCATCTACCCACAACTCTTTTTCTGGATTCTGAGATACTGCCTGACTCAGTCTGGGTCTTGCGACCTACCTCCAATGTGCCTCTGTCCTACTGGCTTCGCTTCCTCTCCCCATCCTTGAGTGATGTGACCCCAAGAACCTCCCTCCCCTCACCTTACACCCTTCCTTTACAATCTTAGTTATCTGTACAATTACTCTATGAGCTATCAGCCGCATAGGGAAAGAGGCTAAATAACTTGCCCAAGGTCATATAAGTAATAAGTAGCAGAGGCAAGAGTCATGTCAAGGCTAACTGATGCAAAGTGCTGGCCTTACCCACCCAGCCCTGCCTCCCACAGCTCCATGCACAGCAACCACTTACAACTACAGCCTTAAGAGCCCACACGTCAACCCCCAGCTTTCACACTTACCTATTCCTGGTTAATCATCTTCCAACCAACCCCCACCCACTGCTGCTTTCCTCTGGATGACTCTAAGGCAAATCCCAGATATATCGTTTCATTTATATTTTGGTATGGATCTTTTAGGAACATGAAACAGAGCTGTAAAATGGCAAATTCTGTGTTCCTAAAAAGTATTCAAATTGTTTTTCTGGTCACAGTTTTGTATTGCATATTTTTCAGCCTTATTGTTTGGTGCACACACATTTATGATTGCTATATCTTCTCCATGAATTAACACTTTCAGCATTATATGATGTTCCTCTCTGTCTCTGGTAATTTTCTTTGCTCTGAAGTCAACTTTATCTGATATTGATATAGCTATTACTGCTTTCCTTTGATTAATGTTTGCGAGATATAGCTTTTCTAGTTGGGCACCTGTGGCTCATGCTTGTCATCCTAGCTACTCAGGAGGCAGAGATCAGGAAAATTGCAGTCAAAAGTCAACCCCAGGCAAATCTTCAAAATACCCAACACAAAAGCAGGGCTGGCAGAAGGGCTCAAGTGATAGAGTGTGTGCTTAGCAAGCAAGAGTCCCTGAGTTCAAACCCCAGTACTGCAAAAAAAAAAAAAAAAGATACAGCTTTTCCATCCTTTCACTTTCAACCTGCCTATATAATTAAATTTGAAATGAGCATTTAGGTGGCAAATGGTTGGGTCATTTTTTTTAATTTTAAATTTTTTAAGTCCATTTTGTCAATCTGTCTTTTAATTGATTGATTTAGACCAGTTATGTTTAGTGCAATTGTTGGTATTTTAAGGGTTTATGTCTGATGTTTTTGCTGTTTATTATGTCCATTTTCTTTTTTTCTTTATTCATATATTCATATGTGCATACATTGTTTGGGTCATTTCTCCCCCCATTCCCCCACCCCCTCCTTCTCTCCCCCCACCCCCTTGCTTCCAGGCAGAACCTGTTCTGCCCTTTTCTCCAATTTTGTTGAAGAGAAGACATAAGCAATAATAAGAAAGACAAAGCGTTTTTGCTAGTTGAGATAAGGATAGCTATACAGAGAGATTCCTAGCATTGCTTCCATGCACAAGTGTATTACAACCCAAATTGATTCATCTCTACCAGACCTCTTCACTACTTCCCGGTCACCTTCCCATAGTGACCTCTGTCATTTTAACGTTATTATATTAGCTCCTCTACAGTGAGCACATCAAACACTTTCAAGTTTTAGGTTTCCTACCTTTCCCTATTCCTCCTGTATGTGTTCTCCCCTTAGCGTGTGACCCATGTCCAATAATATTGTATTTCCTGAATGAATGGTTTGCCTGCATGGTTTTTGGAATTTCATTTTTACTCACC